CAAGTGTAATAAAGTGCAACAGAGTTTTGAAAAATCGTTCCTCTCCCCGCTGTTGCCTAAATCCTGCGACTGAATGAATGCCCTTAATGAAACAAACTGCCAAAAAATCCTGAAAAACTTCGTTTCCTGGCCCCGATCTCCGCTTTTCTCCGTACGTAGCAAGGCAACTTCACCACTTCCTCAAATCCTACTTTCCTCACACGCACTACAAGTGTTTCCAGAAATTTTGAAGATGCAAACAATGAATATTTCTGGCTAGGGGACTGGAAAAGAATGGGGGCATCAGTCTCCTATGTGTTAACATACTCGGTTGTTTGTCGCTGTTGGTGCACTGTTGAAAGGAACACAACTGAATTTTGACAGTTACGGAAAAACTGAAAGTGCCATTTAGATCTCCCAAACAAGCAAGCCTGTATGTATTCTGAGCTGGTATCCTGTCTGTTTCATCCCTGAGCTGTAAACACAGACGGCAGAATTGGTGAGAATGGGATGGGAATCATCAGTACAGTGCTCCATTCCGGTTAAAAGGAGCGTATGGATTACAGAAGGAAGATGAAAGAAAGGGAAATAAAAGTCACACTAAAAATGAAATACACTAAGCAATTGGCTCAAAAGCGTGTGTTGAATATAAAACATCAATCCACCAGACATGTGACAATTTCAAGGATTATCTGGAAACTTTCGCTCGAAAAAATGTAAATTTTTAGCTGTAATGCTTAATAGTTTTGAATGTAAACATACTCGGAATGGGCTGGCCGTATTCATTGACAATATGCCAAGACACGGACGACTGTGGGTCATCCGGAAGGCATTCCAGTATTAAACTTCCTCCCTCAGGCACTGACATTTCGGATGGAAACTCCTTTAACACATTTTTTGTCGTATTTACATCTGAAATTTTCAAATTCATTTTTGAGAGCGTTCGTTCCCTGAAATATATGTATGAAAACCCCTGCATATAGCGTACTGAGTCTCGGGCAAAAAGCGTAACCTGAATATGGCACTTAAATCGCTCCTTAACTCAAGTGGTGGCAATACCCACATAACTTTTCCCCAGTTCACATAACTTTTTCCAAATTCGCATAACCTCTTATTAGCAATTTAGCGCCCCGAATCAACCCCTTGTTTAGCGCACTCCCTATTTCCACGCGGCTTTTTTTTGGACCTATTTATCAGTATTTTCTTTCTTCAACTGTTATTACCCCATGCACGAACTACTTCAGCCTTTTTTGACAGAATATTCACCGACTACACAGCTGGTGTGCTTATCGACATGCAGTTTACTATTTCTCAGCAACCACGGGACGCTAATGTTAGGAATCAAGACAGCTTACGCCAAATATAAAACCCAAATAGCAGCGTGTACTAGGCTTTCTTCCAGTGCGATTAAGTGTTTTTGCGCTAATCTTGAAACAGTCAAAAGCTTAACAGCATAAGGTTGTTGTTTTACAGTTAAACAAGTGCAGCCACGTTTACAATATTTTCAGTGTTCCCTCCACAGAAAGGGAAAGGAGCTAGATAAGACGGTAGTTCTACATTGTCGGAGTGTAGCATCTCAGCTTCCAAAAAATTATCTTGAAGAGAGGTTATCTGCGAAACAAAGCATCCCTAACTTCGCCGTATTCATAAGCAAAATGCAAGCGTTCGTGAAGGCTGATTTTATGCTTTTAGCAATATAGATGATACATCAACAGTCTCGTTAAATTTCCGTTTTCTTGTCTGTCTTGGCAATGAATTTGTGCATTGCAAGAAAGATGAAAGAAAAAAGACTAAAAAAAAAATAAGAAAACCTTGAGTGGGCGCAACAACCACCACAGCAACATCGCTGATAAGAGTTCCACTATGACAACGGTAATGGCCACTATCATTCACACTAGCTCCAAGGAAATGAAGTAAAGAATGGTGTTCAACGGTATATCTAAAAGAAGCATCAGTTATCTACCTATGTACACAGCGACAAACATTCAATAGAACAGGAAGGTATTTTTGAAGTAGAAGAGAAGGGAAAATAATATTAAGAAAGTAGTAAAAGCAATGAAATTATTTTGATAAAATTATTGATAAGAAATGTTTCGGTCCATTAAGTTGTATACATTTCTTACCATTACCACAACTGGACTTCGTCAGTACGACAATTGTAGTAATTGTAATTGGTGTAAAATAAATCTAAATTAGTTATATGGAAATTAATTTTCAAACAACAAAGAGAATTCTAAAAAATCCTTACATGACAAAACATTCTGAAAAACACTCAGGCGAGATAGGATGAAAACTTACACATGGACATTATCATTTGTAGTATTCTCAGCAAACAACACATCATTTTTATACCAAACAAATGGCTCTGATATCGAACCACCAGTAACACATTCCAGTCGAAATGCCCTTCCATCGGCCACTGTTACGCTGCAAATCGGCACGGAATTTAATATTTTCAACCATCATATTCAAATTTTAATGAATAAAAAGTATCGCGGTACTAAAAACAGCAAACACACACACA